TCCTCCAGCCTGTCTCCTCCACCTTATCTGCTCCACCTTGTCTCCTCAGCCTTGTCTCCTCCAGCCTTGTCTCCTCCACCCATCTCCTCCACCTTATCTCCTCCACCTTGTTTCCTCCAGCCTTATCTCCTCCAGCCTTGTCTCCTCCAGCCTTGTCTCCTCCACCTTATCTCCTCCACCTTATCTCCTCCACCTTGTTTCCTCCAGCCTTGTCTCCTCCAGCCTTGTCTCCTCCAGCCTTATCTCCTCCACCTTGTTTCCTCCAGCCTTATCTCCTCAGCCTTGTCTCCTTCAGCCTTGTCTCCTCCAGCCTTGTCTCCTCCAGCCTTATCTCCTCCACCTTGTCTCCTCCAGCCTTGTCTCCTCACCTTGTCTCCTCCAGCCTTGTCTCCAGCCTTGTCTCCTCCAGCCTTATCTCCTCCACCTTGTCTCCTCAGCCTTGTCTCCTCCAGCCTTGTCTCCTCCACCTCATCTCCTCCACCTTATCTCCTCCACCTTGTTTCCTCCAGCTTATCTCCTCCAGCCTTGTCTCCTCCAGCCTTGTCTCCTCAGCCTTGTCTCCTCCAGCCTTGTCTCCTCCAGCCTTGTCTCCTCCAGCCTTATCTCCTCCACCTTGTCTCCTCAGCCTTGTCTCCTTCAGCCTTGTCTCCTCCACCTTGTCTCCTCCAGCCTTGTCTCCTCCACCTTATCTCCTCCACCTTATCTCCTCCACCTTGTCTCCTCAGCCTTGTCTCCTCCAGCCTTGTCTCCTCCACCTTGTCTCCTCCAGCTTGTCTCCTCCAGCCTTGTCTCCTCAGCCTTGTCTCCTCCAGCCTTGTTCCTCCACCTTGTCTCCTCCAGCCTTGTCTCCTCCAGCCTTGTCTCCTCCACCTTATCTCCTCCACCTTATCTCCTCCACCTTGTTTCCTCCAGCCTTATCTCCTCCAGCCTTGTCTCCTCCAGCCTTGTCTCCTCCACCTTGTCTCCTCCAGCCTTGTCTCCTCCAACCTTGTCTCCTCCACCTTGTCTCCTCCAGCCTTGTCTCCTCCACCTTATCTCCTCCAGCCTTGTCTCCTCCAGCCTTGTCTCCTCCACCTTATCTCCTCCACCTTATCTCCTCCACCTTGTTTCCTCCAGCCTTGTCTCCTCCAGCCTTGTCTCCTCCAGCCTTGTCTCCTCAGCCTTGTCTCCTTCAGCCTTGTCTCCTCCAGCCTTGTCTCCTCCACCTTGTCTCCTCCAGCCTTGTCTCCTCCACCTTATCTCCTCCACCTTGTTTCCTCCAGCCTTATCTCCTCCAGCCTTGTCTCCTCCAACCTTGTCTCCTCCACCTTGTCTCCTCCAGCCTTGTCTCCTCCACCTTATCTCCTCCAGCCTTGTCTCCTCCAGCCTTGTCTCCTCCACCTTATCTCCTCCACCTTATCTCCTCCACCTTGTTTCCTCCAGCCTTGTCTCCTCCACCTTATCACCTCCACCTTATCTCCTCCACCTTATCTCCTCCACCTTGTTTCCTCCAGCCTTATCTCCTCCAGCCTTGTCTCCTCCAGCCTTGTCTCCTCAGCCTTGTCTCCTTCAGCCTTGTCTCCTCCAGCCTTGTCTCCTCCACCTTGTCTCCTCCAGCCTTGTCTCCTCCACCTTATCTCCTCCACCTTGTTTCCTCCAGCCTTGTCTCCTCAGCCTTGTCTCCTCCAGCCTTGTCTCCTCCACCTTATCTCCTCCAGCTTTGTCTCCTCAGCCTTGTCTCCTCCAGCCTTGTCTCCTCCACCTTGTCTCCTCCAGCCTTGTCTCCTCCACCTTATCTCCTCCACCTTATCTCCTCCACCTTATCTCCTCCACCTTATCTCCTCCACCTTGTTTCCTCCAGCCTTGTCTCCTCCAGCCTTGTCTCCTCCACCTTATCTCCTCCACCTTGTTTCCTCCAGCCTTGTCTCCTCCACCTTATCTCCTCCACCTTGTTTCCTCCAGCCTTGTCTCCTCCAGCCTTGTCTCCTCCACCTTATCTGCTCCACCTTGTCTCCTCAGCCTTGTCTCCTCCAGCCTTGTCTCCTCCACCTTATCTCCTCCACCTTGTTTCCTCCAGCCTTATCTCCTCCAGCCTTGTCTCCTCCAGCCTTGTCTCCTCCAGCCTTGTCTCCTCCAGCTTTGTCTCCTCCAGCCTTGTCTCCTCCACCTTATCTCCTCCACCTTATCTCCTCCACCTTGTTTCCTCCAGCCTTGTCTCCTCCAGCCTTGTCTCCTCCACCTTATCTGCTCCACCTTGTCTCCTCAGCCTTGTCTCCTCCAGCCTTGTCTCCTCCACCTTATCTCCTCCACCTTGTTTCCTCCAGCCTTATCTCCTCCAGCCTTGTCTCCTCCAGCCTTGTCCTCCAGCCTTGTCTCCTCCAGCCTTCTTGTCTCCTCAGCCTTGTCTCCTCCAGCCTTGTCTCCTCCAGCCTTATCTCCTCCACCTTGTCTCCTCAGCCTTGTCTCCTTCAGCCTTGTCTCCTCCAGCCTTGTCTCCTCCACCTTGTCTCCTCCAGCCTTGTCTCCTCCACCTTATCTCCTCCACCTTGTTTCCTCCAGCCTTGTCTCCTCCTCCTTGTCTCCTCAGCCTTGTCTCCTCCAGCCTTGTCTCCTCCACCTTATCTCCTCCACCTTGTCTCCTCAGCCTTGTCTCCTCCAGCCTTGTCTCCTCCACCTTGTCTCCTCCAGCCTTGTCTCCTCCAGCCTTGTCTCCTCCACCTTATCTCCTCCACCTTATCTCCTCCACCTTGTTTCCTCCACCTTGTCTCCTCCAGCCTTGTCTCCTCCACCTTATCTGCTCCACCTTGTCTCCTCAGCCTTGTCTCCTCCAGCCTTGTCTCCTCCACCTCATCTCCTCCACCTTATCTCCTCCACCTTGTTTCCTCCAGCCTTATCTCCTCCAGCCTTGTCTCCTCCAGCCTTGTCTCCTCCAGCCTTATCTCCTCCACCTTGTTTCCTCCAGCCTTATCTCCTCAGCCTTGTCTCCTTCAGCCTTGTCTCCTCCAGCCTTGTCTCCTCCAGCCTTATCTCCTCCACCTTGTCTCCTCCAGCCTTGTCTCCTCAGCCTTGTCTCCTCCAGCCTTGTCTCCTCCACCTTGTCTCCTCCAGCCTTGTCTCCTCCAGCCTTGTCTCCTCCACCTTATCTCCTCCACCTTATCTCCTCCACCTTGTCTCCTCCAGCCTTGTCTCCTCAGCCTTGTCTCCTCCAGCCTTGTCTCCTCAGCCTTGTCTCCTTCAGCCTTGTCTCCTCCAGCCTTGTCTCCTCCACCTTGTCTCCTCCAGCCTTGTCTCCTCCAGCCTTATCTCCTCCACCTTGTCTCCTCAGCCTTGTCTCCTTCAGCCTTGTCTCCTCCAGCCTTGTCTCCTCCACCTTATCTCCTCCACCTTGTCTCCTCCAGCCTTGTCTCCTCAGCCTTGTCTCCTCCAGCCTTGTCTCCTCCAGCCTTGTCTCCTCCACCTTGTCTCCTCAGCCTTGTCTCCTCCACCTTATCTCCTCCAGCCTTGTCTCCTCAGCCTTGTCTCCTCCAGTCTTGTCTCCTCCACCTTGTCTCCTCCAGCCTTGTCTCCTCCAGCCTTGTCTCCTCCACCTTGTCTCCTCAGCCTTGTCTCTTCCAGCCTTGTCTCCTCCAGCCTTGTCTCCTCAGCCTTGTCTCCTCCAACCTTGTCTCCTCCACCTTGTTTCCTCCAGCCTTGTCTCCTCCAGCCTTGTCTCCTCCACCTTATCTGCTCCACCTTGTCTCCTCAGCCTTGTCTCCTCCAGCCTTGTCTCCTCCAGCCTTGTCTCCTCAGCCTTGTCTCCTCCAGCCTTGTCTCCTCCACCTTGTCTCCTCCAGCCTTGTCTCCTCCACCTTATCTCCTCCACCTTATCTCCTCCACCTTGTTTCCTCCAGCCTTGTCTCCTCCACCTTATCTGCTCCACCTTGTCTCCTCAGCCTTGTCTCCTCCAGCCTTGTCTCCTCCACCTTATCTCCTCCACCTTGTTTCCTCCAGCCTTATCTCCTCCAGCCTTGTCTCCTCCAGCCTTGTCTCCTCCAGCCTTGTCTCCTCCAGCCTTGTCTCCTCAGCCTTGTCTCCTCCAGCCTTGTCTCCTCCAGCCTTGTCTCCTCCAGCCTTATCTCCTCCACCTTGTCTCCTCAGCCTTGTCTCCTTCAGCCTTGTCTCCTCCAGCCTTGTCTCCTCCACCTTATCTCCTCCACCTTGTTTCCTCCAGCCTTGTCTCCTCCACCTTGTCTCCTCAGCCTTGTCTCCTCCAGCCTTGTCTCCTCCACCTTATCTCCTCCACCTTGTCTCCTCAGCCTTGTCTCCTCCAGCCTTGTCTCCTCCAGCCTTGTCTCCTCAGCCTTGGCTCCTCCAGCCTTGTCTCCTCCACCTTGTCTCCTCCAGCCTTGTCTCCTCCAGCCTTGTCTCCTCCACCTTATCTCCTCCACCTTATCTCCTCCACCTTGTTTCCTCCAGCCTTGTCTCCTCCAGCCTTGTCTCCTCCAGCCTTGTCTCCTCCACCTTATCTGCTCCACCTTGTCTCCTCAGCCTTGTCTCCTCCAGCCTTGTCTCCTCCACCTCATCTCCTCCACCTTATCTCCTCCACCTTGTTTCCTCCAGCCTTATCTCCTCCAGCCTTGTCTCCTCCACCTTATCTCCTCCACCTTATCTCCTCCACCTTGTTTCCTCCAGCCTTGTCTCCTCCAGCCTTGTCTCCTCCAGCCTTATCTCCTCCACCTTGTTTCCTCCAGCCTTATCTCCTCAGCCTTGTCTCCTTCAGCCTTGTCTCCTCCAGCCTTGTCTCCTCCAGCCTTATCTCCTCCACCTTGTCTCCTCCAGCCTTGTCTCCTCAGCCTTGTCTCCTCCAGCCTTGTCTCCTCCACCTTGTCTCCTCCAGCCTTGTCTCCTCCAGCCTTGTCTCCTCCACCTTATCTCCTCCACCTTATCTCCTCCACCTTGTCTCCTCCAGCCTTGTCTCCTCCACCTTATCTCCTCCACCTTGTCTCCTCCAGCCTTGTCTCCTCCAGTCTTGTCTCCTTCAGCCTTGTCTCCTCCACCTTGTCTCCTCCACCTTGTCCTCCAGGGACGCCCTGGCGCCCTTCCTGAGGACCGAGGAGGCGCGGCTGCGGGTGGACGGCGGCGCCTTGCGCCCGTCCTTCCACTGCGTCCTCTGCGCTGCCACGTCTCCGGCCGTCAAGCAGCAGGAGGAGACGCTGACCTGAACCAAGGTACCGTCCGGATCCGATCAGGACTGAAGGAATCAATGATGCTGACGATTGATCCATTAACTGCATGCAATATTAAAATGCAGATCAGCAAATAAGTGAATGAATTTGAATGATTGTTGCTCCAAGTCTTTATTAACTATAAATAATCACTTTTCTAATTGAAAAAACTTGAACATGATTTCAAATGGAAACACTTAAAAACTAATCTGTTAGATATTCAATCATTAATGTTTCTGCTGAATTATGGTAGGAAACTAATTTGTTGACATTAATAATGTTTTAGTTCAAATGTCAGACCAGAAGTTTACATACAGCCGTTTTCTTGAATCTATTGATTATTAAAAATAAAATGATCAAAAATGAGAAGCCAGGTCCAGATATTTACATACCCCCAGAGAAACAGCTTTAAACTGGAGCAGAACCAAACCAGTACAACGAGTCTGGACCCACTCCATCATTCTGCCACCACCATGCAGCTGCAGACTTGAATCCTTATCCAGATGTTCTTCCTGGGTCCAAACGGGTCAAGCTGCTGGTGTTGATGTGGACTGGGGTGTATGAATATATCTGACCCCGTCAGGAAATCTGAGTAAAGATTACTGAGCTGCAGGTTCTGCAGAACTTCATGGGTCCAACATGTTTCCTCTTCCTGTCTGTGATCAGTTCTGTCTGGTTTCTGCTGAACCCCAACCGGTCCGAACCAGAACCTCCATTTACTTAGACCTGAACCCTGTAGGTGGTCCTGATGTTCTGGAGAGTTTTCTACCTTCAGGGAACAGAATCCCTGAACCTGCTTCCAGTGCCCTTTGGACCGGGACCGGACCGGGACTCCAGGTGTTGAGAATGTTGATCAGTTGGACGACGATCGTTATTTTCCTAAAGACTCTGATTCACTGAGAGCTGGACAGATTGGTTTTGCTCCAACTGTTGGGCCAACTGGACCCAAACTCATTCCAGGAATCACACAGAAGCTGAAACAAGCCGGGTCCGTTCCCTCGGACGAGCCGGGTCCGTTCCCTCTGACCTTCACCTCCTCCTCTGTTCCCCCAGGAGTCTGGAGACTCCATGGCTGCATCTGCATCTCAAGGCAGACAGGAGCCTGCAGCCATGAAGAAGTCTCCACCTGCAGGTCCAGGCCCGGTCCAACAGGCCCGGTCCAACAGGCCCGGTCCAACAGGTCCGGTCCAACAGGCCCGGTCCAACAGGCCCGGTCCAACAGGCCCGGTCCAACAGGCCCGGTCCAACAGGCCCGGTCCAACAGGCCCGGTCCAGGGCCAGTCTCGGTTCTCCTTGCCTCAGCTCGTCTGGTTCTGACCCGTTGGACCGGTTCCTGGCCTTCATGCTCTCTGGGTTCCTACAGTGATTCAGTTTCCATCTCCTCTGTTCTGATTGACTGATTTTCCATTTATTAAATATTAATCAGGTTTTCTTTAATGTTTTCAAATGTAGGTCAGTCCTATGAAATCCGTCTGCTTAACAGAAAGCTAGTGGAGGATTCAGATAGAAGCAGCAGGTATGTGAAGGTAGGTGTGAGCCTCCATGTTTGTGTGTTTGTTCTGTCAGCTTCTCTTTCTCCATGTTTGTCGCGGGTCCCTGAACGCACCGTCCCCCGTCTCAGGGACGGTGGCGGCTCAGCGCTGTCTCTTTCCTGTCCTCCGCTCCTCTCTGCCGGGATTTCTCCACGCGTGGATCAGATGGTTCCTCCGACCCGAAAGCCTGGAGAAAACCCGGCAGCCGCTCTGCAGCTGCGTGATGAAGGCCGCCTCCTGCCTGAGGAGGGGCTGCAGGTCCGGTCCGATCCGGTCCGGCCGGTTCTGAGTGAGCGGACCTGCGGGACGTTCCCGCGTCGCCAGGCTGCCAATCGCTGCTTCCTGGAAGTAGAAACATGTGGCAGCTGAGCAAACCAGGAGACGTCTGACTGCATGGTGACGCTGCTGATGTCATCAGCAGGTTCTGGTTCCTCAGAACCAGCCTGGTTCTGAGGCAAAGAGGACGGATGGAGGACAACCTGGAGGTGATCTGGGCGGAGCCTCCAGTCTGTCCTCACCTGCCTGAGACCTCAGCAGCTGATTGGCTGTGGCTGACGCGCTGCAGCTCTTTGTCACGTTGTCCTGGACAATTGTAGTCAATCTGGCTTTATTCTGAAAGGAGCTGAACTTCCTGTGAATTTCTCCTCCATCTTTGAGGCTGACGATGTGACTGAATGAATCCTGAGCCTGAAACCTGCCGCTGCGTCTCTGCAGAGCGTCGTCCGCGTCGTGTTTCACGTCCGCCGGCTGCAGTACATGGAGCACCAGCAGCTGGAGGGATGGAGGTGGAACCGGCCCGGAGACCGGATCCTGGACATAGGTGAGCTCAGCCCGACAGGTTCCCCGACCTTTAGATATCAGGCTCAGCGCTGCAGCTCCGCTGCACAGGGAAGCAACGGGTCGCTGGGTCGGGGTCAAGGGTCAGGCTTATTTCATTATTGTTTTCATCCCACTTTGTCAACTTGAGCCTTAAATTTCCACCACCAAACAAAAGCCCTGAATTAAAGGTCATTGCTGCTCAGTGGGTGACCTTTGACCCCTCCCAGGCTGCTGCTCTCAGGTCATTGCTGGAGTCGTCGACTTGCTGCTTCACTCCAATGATGATGTTTAGGACTCTGGGTCCGTTCGGACCTTCAGGCTGCGGCCGGCTGACCGAGCTGCTGTCCTTCCTGCAGACGTTCCGCTGTCGGTCGGGATCCTGGAGCCGCATTCAGACCCGCTGCACCTCAACACCATCCACTTCCTCTGGGATCCCTCGAAGAACGCTTCCATCTTCATCCAGGTACCTCCGTAGAATGCTACTGCCGGCCTCCTTCCTTGGCGTTCCTTAGCATTCCTTGGCGTTCCTTGGCCTTCCTTGGCCTTCCTTGGCGTTCCTTGGCCTTCCTTGGCGTTCCTTGGCCTTCCTTGGCCTTCCTTGGCCTTCCTTGGCGTTCCTTGGCCTTCCTTGGCCTTCCTTGGCGTTCCTTGGCCTTCCTTGGCGTTCCTTGGCCTTCCTTGGCCTTCCTTGGCCTTCCTTGGCGTTCCTTGGCCTTCCTTGGCCTTCCTTGGCCTTCCTTGGCGTTCCTTGGCCTTCCTTGGCGTTCCTTGGCCTTCCTTGGTGTTCCTTGGCCTTCCTTGGCGTTCCTTGGCCTTCCTTGGCCTTCCTTGGCGTTCCTTGGCCTTCCTTGGCGTTCCTTGGCCTTCCTTGGCCTTCCTTGGCGTTCCTTGGCCTTCCTTGGCGTTCCTTGGCCTTCCTTGGCCTTACTTGGCATTCCTTGGCCTTCCTTGGCCTTACTTGGCATTCCTTGGCCTTCCTGCTCTAGTCTCACTCCGTGTTTCTCCACAGGTCCACTGCATCAGCACCGAGTTCACCCCCAGGAACCACGGCGGGGAGAAGGGCGTCCCATTCCGCATCCACGTGGACTCCTTCGCCTCCAACGACCACGGGGAATACGTGCAACACGTTCATTCATCCAGCTGCCAGGTCAAGGTCTTCAAGGTACCCGACCTGCCGAGTCGGCCCGGTCGGCCGCGTTCAAACGCTTCAATTTTCTCGTCCTGTGAAGCCCAAAGGAGCCGACCGCAAGCTGAAGACAGACCGGGAGAAGATGGAGAGGAAGACGCCTCAGGACCGGGACAAGTACCAGCTGTCCCATGAGACCACCCAGCTGAAGGAGGTGAGGCCCACCACTGGACGGATCAGAACCAGCCGCTCTCTGATTGGCTGCTGGGCTCAGATGACATCATCACAAGGTGTCTGAACACGAAGCGGACCAACAGGTTCTGTTCACCTGGCTGAGCTTTAACTGGAACAGAGACCTTCTGTAATGTTGGACCAGTAAAACCAGCAGGGAACCTTTTGGTCCCATCACAGAATTCACCTGGTTCTGGTTGGTCAACGTTACAGTTCTGTGCTGAAGCCTAACTGGGCGCTTTGACCTTTGTCCCAGTGCTCCCAGTGGCCTGAAAGCTTGAACCTGAGCAGCAACAGCAGCGCTCCGTCACCCGGCTGCCTCGCCTCGCCCTGCGGCTTCACGGACGGGTGAGTCAGAGCCGAGTTCTGCTTAGTGCGGAGGGAAGAGACGCATTACCATGCACCACATCCTGACGTCTGATTGGCTGCTTCAAGTCAACATAACTTAGTCTGCCATGTCTGAGTCTGAGGTCGACGTTTTCCCTGAAACCCAGAAAAAACTTCAGTATCAGAACTAAATATCTGACATTGATCACCGATGAACTGAGTGCTAGCTGCTGGAAGCTAGCAGGTGGGGCTAATGGCCAGCTAGCTTGCAGCTAGCTTCCAGTAGCTAGCTGGGAGCTAAGCTAATATATCTCAATTAAATAAAAACTAGATGAAATTGAATGGGAATAGTTTATTAATCAGTTTGTGTCTTTATTTTTTCCAGGGTTTATTGTTTATTGGTTTCATAATCAGTTACTTTACGTGTTTTATGAATTTAAAGTTTTACTTTTTTACTTTATTTCATGTTCTTGTTTTCAAATAAAGGGGCGGAGTTTTCTCTGGCTCCCATTGAAATATTTTAGTTTTTCTGTTATGGCTCCTTATTGTAATGATTTATCAATAACAGCATCATCCATTTATCCATTGGGTTCTGTGGTCTGGTTCTGTTGGACCCACATTGCTATAGAAAATGATTTTCTGACGCTAACTGAGGACGATGTTTTAATAAAAGCTGAAACCGGTTCAGCTGACGGGTCCAAAAGTCCAGAACCGCCAAGGGGAAGAAAAACAAAGTTTTTAACATTTTTCACAAACTAAATTCTGAGTGTGGTTTGCATTTACGTTCCTGAGTCAGAATTATTAAAACCTCCAGAGTGTTGTCTGGCCTTTGACTAGGCCATGAAGCTACTTTGGTCTAAATCAGCTTTTCGGTTTTCATCAGAAACATCCCATCATTTTCCTTCAACTTGACAGTTTTCTGTTCCAAAAACCTCTGAAGGCTGGAACTGGATGGTTGATGGGCTGTAAATTCTGCGTAGTGAGAACTTCAGCCTCTTTGGGCTGATAAATATAAAACATGAAATATAAAACTTGCACTTAACCGGTGCATCTAATGCAGAACAAAAAAAACATCCAAAATGTATATTTTCCAAAACTCCTAAAACTATCAAAGGTGCATAAAAAGCTAAAAGTTGCCTGAACTCCAGGAGAGACGGGTCGAAGGTTCCGGAGGCGCCGAGCCGCCGTTCTGCAGGAACCAGGAGGGAAATGTCTGCAGCAGAACCAGAACCTGCAGCAGAACCTCCAGCAGAACCAGAACCAGAACCAGCATTGATTCATCTCAGTCTGAAACACAGAGGAAGAGGAAAAACTTGAGGGTATTCATCAGGTCCTGTTGGACCTGCTGCTTCTGGTGGTTCTGTTGGATCCATTAAGTCAGACTCATCCTCTGATTGGCTGAACACTGAAGGTGCGTTCAGAGTAACTGGATCCTTTGGGCTTCAGGTGTGTTTCCCTCCTGGGCTCCTGCAGTAATGCCTCACAGGGCCAGAAGGGGGCGTTGCAGGCTGTACTATTGTTCTGGTTGTTCAGAAGTAAAAAACTGCTTTTCATGCAGTAACTGAACTTTTAGTTATGATTGCAGCAAGTGGTCCAGACCAAAGCAGGAAGTCGATCACTTCCTGTGTTTTTCTTCCTCATGTTTCCATAGCAACTGTTCTCCGAAGCAGCAGGCGGAGCTGTTCATGCCTGGCGGCTCCGACGTGAGTAACTGGGAGGTGTGCAGTGTTAATCCTGCTCTCTTGTCTCCTTTAGGACAGTGTTTGGAGGCAAAACTCATTTCAAGGACTTTCTTCTCTTTGACATGTAGCATCTTCTGCCGTCGTCGTCGCCGCAGGAAGTTCAGCAGTGGCTGCAGCGCCACAGGTTCTCGCCTCTCTCTAGGCTCTTCTCCAGCTTCTCAGGTACAGTGGAGAAATCAACTGAACATCACTTCACCCACCTTCAGATGGAAATCTCTAAAGGTCAGAGGTAACTGGGCTGAAAGCCAAAAAAATTATTCACATATAAGGCAAATTTAAGCAAGACCTTTGGTCAATAGTGGAGTCTGGACTGACTCACTGATGGATGGAATATCCAACTAACCAACCAACCATCCATCAAACCAACCAACCATCAAACCAACCATCCATCCATCCATCAAAACAACCATCCAACCAACCAACCAACCATCCATCAAACCAACCATCCAACCAACCATCCATCAAACCAACCATCCAACCAACCATCAAACCAACCATCCAACCAACCAACATCCATCCATCAAACGAACCATCCAACCAACCAACCATCCATCAACCATCCAACCAACCAACCATCCATCAAACCAACCATCCAACCAACCAACCATCCATCCATCAAACGAACCATCCAACCAACCAACCATCCATCAAACCAACCATCCAACCAACCATCAAACCATCCAACAACCAACCAACCAACCATCCATCAAACCAACCATCCAACCAACCATCCATCAAACCAACCATCCAACCAACCAACCATCCATCAAACCAACCATCCATCCAACCAACCATCCATCAAACCAACCATCCAACCAACCAACCAACCATCCATCAACCAACCATCCAACCAACCAACCATCCATCAAACCAACCATCCAACCAACCAACCAACCATCCAACCAACCAACCAACCAACCAACCATCCATCAAACCAACCATCCATCCAACCAACCATCCATCAAAACCAACCATCCAACCAACCAACCATTCATCAAACCAACCATCCAACCAACCAACCATCCATCCAACCAACCATCCATCCAACCAACCATCCATCAAACCAACCATCCAACCAACCAACCATCCATCAAACCAACCATCCAACCAACCAACCATCCATCAAACCAACCATCCAACCAACCATCCATCAAACCAACCATCCAACCAACCAACCAACCATCCATCCATCCATCCATCCATCCATCCATCCAACCAACCAACCATCCATCAAACCAACCAACCATCCAACCAACCAACCAACCAACCATCAAACCAACCATCCAACCACCCAACCATCCATCCAACCAACCAACCAACCATCCATCCAACCAACCAACCAACCAACCAACCATCCATTCATCCATCCATCCATCCAACCAACCATCCAACCAACCAACCATCCAACCAACCAACCAACAAACCATCCATCCATCCAACCAACCATCCATCAAACCAACCATCCATCCAACCAACCAACCATCAAACCAACCATCCAACCAACCAACCATCCATCCAACCAACCAACCCACCATCCATCCGACCAACCGACCGACCAACCAACTAACCAACCAACCAACCAACCATCCAACCAACCAACCAACCAACCAACCAACCAACCAACAACCACCAACCAACCAACCAACCATCCAACCAATCCTCAAACCAACCATCCATCCAACCAATCCTCAAACCAACCAACCAACCAACCAACCAACCATCCAACCAATCCTCAAACCAACCAACCATCAAACCAACCAACCATCCATCCAAGCAACCATCCAACCAACCAACCAACCGACCAACCATCCATCCAACCAACCAACCATCCAACCAACCGACCAACCATCCATCCAACCAACCGACCAACCATCCATCCAACCAACCAACCATCCAACCTACCGACCAACCATCCATCCAACCAACCAACCATCCATCCAACCAACCAACCAACCATCCATCCAACCAACCATCAAACCAACCATCCATCCAACCAACCAACCAACCAACCAACCAACCATCCATCCATCCAACCAACCATCCAACCAACCATCTTTCCAACCATCCATCCAACCAACCAACCATCAAACCAATCAACCATCCATCCATCCAACCAACCAACCATCCATCCAACCAACCATCAAACCAACCATCCAACCAACCAACCATCAAACCCACCATCCATCCAACGAACCAACCATCCATCCATCCATCCAACCAACCAACCAACCAACCATCCATCCAACCGACCGACCGACCGACCGACCGACCTACCAACCATCCAACCAACCAACAAATCAACCAACCAACCAACCAACCAACATCCATCCATCCAACCAACCAACCCTCCATCCAACCAACCAACCAACCAACCAACCTACCAACTGACCAACCATCCATCCAACCAACCAACCATCCAAGCAACCGACCAACCATCCATCCAACCAACCATCCATCAAACAACCATCCATCCAACCAACCAACCATCAAACCAACCATCCAACCAACCAACCATCAAACCCACCATCCATCCAACGAACCACCAACCATCCATCCAACCGACCGACCGACCGACCTACCAACCATCCATCCAACCAACCAACCAACCAACATCCATCCATCCAACCAACCAACCCTCCATCCAACCAACCAACCAACCAACCGACCAACCATCCATCCAACCAACCACCAACCAACCGACCAACCATCATCCAACCAACCATCCATCAAACCAACCATCCATCCAACCAACCAACCATCAAACCAACCATCCAACCAACCAACCATCCAACCAACCAACCATCCATCATCCATCCATCCAACCAACCAACCAACCATCCATCCGACCGACCGACCAACCATCCAACCAACCAACCAACCAACATCCAACCAACCAACCAACCAACCAACCATCCATCCAACCAACCAACAATCAAACCAACCATCCATCCAACCAACCAACCATCCATCCAACCAACCAACCAACCAACCATCCATCCGACCCACCCGACCGACGGACCAACCAACCAACCAACCAACCAACCATCCAACTAACCATCCATCCAACCAACCAACCATCCATCCAACCAACCATCAAACCAACCATCCAACCAACCAACCATCAAACCCACCATCCATCCAACGAACAACCAACCATCCATCCATCCATCCAACCAACCAACCAACCACATCCATCCATCCAACCAACCCCCTCCATCCAACCAACCAACCAACCAACCTACCAACTGACCAACCATCCATCCAACCAACCAACCATCCAAGCAACCGACCAACCATCCAACCAACCATCCATCAAACCAACCATCCATCCAACCAACCAACCATCAAACCAACCATCCAACCAACCAACCATCAAACCCACCATCCATCCAACGAACCAACCAACCATCCATCCAACCGACCGACCTACCAACCATCCAACCAACCAACCATCCATCCAACCGACCGACCGACCTACCAACCATCCAACCAACCAACCACATCAATCCATCCATCCACCAACCAACCCTCCATCCAACCAACCAACCAACCAACCTACCAACCGACCAACCATCCATCCAACCAACCATCCAACCAACCGACCAACCATCCATCCAACCAACCATCCATCAAACCAACCATCCATCCAACCAACCAACCATCAAACCAACCATCCAACCAACCAACCATCCATCCAACCAACCAACCATCCATCCATCCATCCATCCAACCAACCAACCATCCATCCGACC